AACAAACAAATAGACTAGGGAAGACTTGTAAGTTGTGGTGAAGGATGAATTGTATGATATGTGAGTTATAGGCCAAGAAAGCTATAAAGCTATTACAAAACTTAGAGCCTACAGAGTGACTGTGTGCTTATCAAAGGTTGCAGCATAGTGACAGCTCCTGGCTATAGGTACTTTTACTGGGCACCAAAAAAAAAAAAAAAAGAAAGAAAAAATATCAGGTGATGATATTTTGCGTGCTATCAGGTGATAATAAATGCATGGCTATTTCCAGACCTTTGGATCTGAGTGAAGAAGAGGGGTGCAAAGTGAGAAGTGAAGGGAGAGAAGAAAAGAAAAATGTTAGCCAGAAAACCTGGTGGTGAATCACAGTGGGAGTTCAGGGTGATGTGAGGAGAATGGGACCCTCAGGCACTTGTGGTATTCAAAGGCATGAAGAATGTATGTAGAAAAGGGGATTTCAGAATGGTTCTCTGTGACTCTACAGCAAGGAAACCAGCATAAAAACAGATCTAAGAAAAAGGAACACGCTACATGCTACAATACGGAAGGACTCTGTCAAAACACTAAGTGAAAGAAAGCAGTCACAAAGCATCATTTATTGTATGATTCTATTTATAGAAATCAGCAGAATAGGGAAATACAGAGACAGAACTCTGACCAGTGCATGCCTAGATCTATTGGAGTGGGGCGTGGGTGGGTGTACGGGGTGGTGGAAGGTGGCTAAAGGTAATGGAGTTTCATTTTGGGGGGCAATGTAAATTTCTGAAACAGATTATAGTGATGACTATACAACGATGTGAATAAAGTGAAAACAACATCAAATCACTTGAAGTACTCTTTCAGTGAGGGTATTGTATGGTATATGAATTATATGGTAATAGAACTATTATGCAAGGGAAAGAGAAGAACTGAGAAGGAGGGTTATAACTCCTCCTCGAAAATGTATACAATTGTTTTAATTCACATTTCTTTGTGTGTTTTTCTGCAGAAAAAAACCAGAGCTTGTTTCTCTTTCTCAGAGGTAGTCTGTGATTGAATAAAGGTTAAAAAGCTCTTATCTGGTGGGCCCAACAAACATAATGCAGAACACGCTGAATCAACCCAAGCTAGAACTGCCTGAGCTTCCTGAGATGGTGAGCCCCCTGACACTGGAGGAATCCAAGCAGAGGCTGCTCACTGGGCCCTCACAGGGAATGCAGTGGGGTGGGGGGTCTGGCCTTTCCCTCCGTCCTGAGAATGGGAGCTCACTTCCTTGCTGCCCCTCTCCCACCTCTTTACCTGAAGCCAGTCTTCTTGAACTGCTGCACATAGTATTGGATCTCCTCCTCGGTGATCATCGAACTGAGGCTGGGCTCATCGGGGAACCTTACCAGAAGTCCTCCTGCAAAAAATCATTTGTTTCCTTCCTCACGCTCAGGGCTGAGTTCTAACAATGGTGTCCTTAGCTGGGCTCAGGTTTCTAACTGCTTTGGTATGTCTGAAATGACAACATAGGGCCTGAAGAGTATCCCACTGTTTGTTTTCTTTAACTTTTCAAAAACAAATCATCTCCTCTCACTGTCTATCCTACAGCCTCACTGTCATTCTAGAACCCAGGGGTTTCTCCACTGGACACATTGTACATGTGGGCTGTTGTCACAGCTCCAGGACAAACCACATCTACCTCCTAAATCCACGTGCAGGACTCAGAAGGAAGGAGCTGTGCTTGAAGGACTGTGGCGTTTCAAGTCAGATGAGCTTAATCCAGCTGGACAAGTTACCTAACCTTTCTGGATCTAGGTGCTCTGAGAAAATTTCTTTTTACACAATAGCTGACTCCTCACTCATATTGAATGTGAGGGAGATCAAGGGTGGTTATCTATGTGAGGGAACTATAAATGACCAGAATATAAACCAAGGTGGCAAAAGATCAGAGAAGTATGGCTGCAGACGGCTGGCTTGGGGTCTGGCCCTGCTTTTGTCTGTCCTGCACCAGGTGATCCTGTACAAGTCAGCTCCTGGTCCAGCCTCTTATCAGTGGAGGGTGGGGCTGCCCTGAGCAATCTCTAAGATTGGAAATCTCTAAGATTCCTCTGATGGCTGAAGAGCTTGAATCTAAAGCTCTCTGTGAGCTAACTGTGGTCCGTATTTTGCTTCTAGTTTGATGTGGGGTGGGAGCTTCAGAGAAGAATAACAAGTATGCTTTTAGTAGGTAATTATGCTATAGAACTTCAATACTGACTAGCTCTGCTTATCTAAGAACAGACACATGAATTAAGTAGTAAAAAATACTCAAAGAGTGACTGAACTTAAGTCAAGACTCAAAACGCATTTGAGGGTCACACTGTGGACCCCAGCCTTCCAGAAACTAAGTGCTTTCAAACTGAAACTAAACAATATTGAAGTTTACAAAGAGAAATCTAGGCTGAGTGATCACTGAGTGTGTTATATTTATATTTTTGTTTTCTTGTCCATAAAATAAATGTTGATGTCTAACTCAGATATAAGGAAATGACTTATGATATTTGATGCCATTAAAAAGTATTTTATTAAAGCTTGTTATATATGTTTTTTTAAAAAGCTAGCTATCTCAAGAAGTGTAAAATTGTATGCAGATGGATGAAAATGAAGCACAGATGGTGTACCTAGCTGTCCAAGGTATTTTCTATAGTAGACTTAGCAAGACCATAGTGCATGGGTACAAGACTGAAATATGGGAGCTGGCAGCCTCCAAAATACTTTGGGAGCACATGGAAAATGCTCCCCAGCACTGGCCCTATTCCATAAGGATGAGTGGGCTTGATGGTGGGGAGGCTGCTGAGGGTGAAGCAACTTTTGGCTGAACTACTTTTCTATTCTTGAGGGCAATCAGTCCCTGTCCCCAAGATTCCTCCAACCTATGTTTAAGGTCTTGAGTGCAGAGCACCTTAGAAGAAAAGAATTGGAGTGGGCAAGTCAGCGCACAGATCTGGCAAGTGCTGTTTTACCAACAGTATTCAGGGGAGAAAAACTCAGGAGTGGCATCCACTTCCTGAATAACATGTCTCTGGAAACCCTACGAACTTTGATAAATGTTGATAGTAGTAGAGGGGCTTCAAGCCTTTTGTTCATAGGGTTGCTGAGTCATGCTCAACTTGAAGGGAATCAACAACTCAGGGAGAAAAACTCATTTTTTGTTTAGTTAGTTCCCATTATACCGACCTCCTTACCATGCCTCCCTTCTCCTCCAAAAATGTCTCTTACCCATTTTGGAGACTTGGCTGAGGCTTGTCAAAGACTGCGGGAAGAAAAGTTAGAGATAATGTCATTGGTGAGTGAAAGAAATGGGCTGAAACAGGTAATGTGACAACTCTCCACCAAGGAAAACTGGACAAGTGCTAGACAGACTATATGACTAGGCTAAGCTCCCAAGAGCAGAGTTAGGGAAATCTTTAAGGTCAAAGTCAAGGGGAGGTGACAAGTAGAGCTCTCAGTGAGAGCTCAGGTGAAGCCCATTTGACATCTATGGCTGCCAATCAATTCCTACTCATATAAAGACCCTAGAGGAAGGGCAGAGTAGAACAGCACCACAGAATTTCCAAGGATGTAATCTCGGACCCAGAAACATCGAAGCAGCATCCCTAGTGGTGTATGGGCTATCCCTTCTGGTGTGATTTCCATCCTGTTGAAAAATTGGATGGTGGGCCATCTACGAATCAGTTCCTACTCAACAACAAGGAAGCTAAGACGGACTGAATATGTCTGGATTGTGATGACTTCAGGCCTAAATGAAATGCTCCATTTTTTGAAGTAAACGAAGACCTTCTTCAGCTTTTCTGTCAAAAGATTCATGTTTAGAAAATCAAGACAGCAAAGGTCAGAATTTGTAATCTGCATAAAGGATTACTTAGTGTCTAGTAAACATGATTGTGCAGCCAATCTCAGGGAAATTCCTGTAGTCAGCAGAAGTACAATAGAACTGATAATGTTAGATGAAATTTGAGCCTGTAGATAAATTTGTAGCTGAGATAATTATCTAGTAAATCTTAGTTCACATCTGATTCTCAAATGACAATCGCTAGGAATTTTCATTGTTGTTGTTAGGTGCCATCAAGTCAAATACAACTCACAGCAACCTTTATGAACAGCCAACCTGAAAATTGGCCTGTCCTGTGCCATCCTCATCATCTCTGAGACTGAAGTCATAGTGTCAATCCATCAAGCTGGGGGGGCCTTCCTCTCCTTCACTGACCTTCCATCTTTCCAAGCATGATATTCTCTCCAAGGAATAGCCTCACCTAGCTACATGTCCAAAGTATAAAAGACAAATCTCTGCCATCCTTGCCTTCAAGGAGCACTCTGGCTGCACACTTTCCAGGACCTATCTGCTTGTTGCAGTCCATGGATTATTCAGTACTCTTCTCCAGTACCATAGCTCAAAGGCTTCAATTCTTCTTCTGCCATCCTCATTCACTGTCTAGCTCTCTGATGCGTAGCAGGTGATCAAGAAAATTATGGCCTGAATCAGGCATATCTTAGTCTTCAAACTGACATGACCGCTCTTCAGTATTTTGGACAAGTCCCAGATGGCAGACTTGCTCAATGCAATACATCTCCTGATTTCCTGACTGCTGGTACCAACGGTGTTGATCGTTGATCCAAGCAAGATGGCATAATTAACAGCTTCAATCTTTTCTCCATCTATCATAATGTTGATTTTTTAGACCTGTAGTGAGGATCTTTGTCTTCCTGATGTTGAGATGCAATTCATACTGAAGACTGTAGTCCTTGATCTTCTGTAGCAAGTGTTTCAACTCCTCCTCACTTAGAGCAAGCAAAGATGTGTCATCAGCATAACTCAGGTTGTTGATAATGAGTCTTCCTTTAATCCTGATGCCACACTCCTCTTCATAGCATCCTGCTTCGTGAATTATTTGCTCAGCATGCAGACTGAACAGGTATGAAGAAAGAATACAGTCCTAATACACGTCCTTCCTGATCTTAAACCATGCAGTGTTCCCTTGCTCTGTTCCCAAAACAGCGTCTTCGTTTAGGTATAGATTCCATATGAGCACAATTAAGTGTTCTAGGATCCCCATTCATATCAATGTGAGCCATAATATGTTATGATCCACCCAGTCAAACGTTCTCTGTAAATCTGTAACTGAGATAGAAATTGAGTTTTTTGGGCTAAGAAGACAAACTAAAAATGTAACAAAATTAGTTCTTGAAAGAATTCTTTGTTAAAATACTCTCAGGATATAACAATCTCAGAATATGACAAAGGTGCCTAATAATACTGTTTAAGCTTGAATTTACCCCTTTCCTCCATGTGTCTGTTGCTGTTATGTGCCAGCAAGTTGCTTGTGACTCATAGTGACCCTGTGTACAATAGTCCTAAAACCTGCTCTATTCTGTGTCGCCCTTATTGTCTCTGACATACCAAATAAAAACCTGCCTTAATTCTTAAAAAATGAGAACACTACTACATCTTGTATGGATATATGTCAATGTTCTCTATTTAAAAGTAATTGTATCCCTTCAAAAATTAATTTTAACAGAACATCGATATACTGCTCTTTATGAAAACAAATCTTTATAGAAGTTGGTTGTCACGTCTTGTTTCATGGAGCAGCAGGTGGGTTTGAACTGGCAACCTTTAGCAGTTAGCAGTTGAGTACCAGTACTCCTGACATGTAAAGATAGCTTTATTAACCAAAGGGGAATAAAAGATGAGACCTTAGGCCATGGTGGGTTGAAAATTAGAAATCAGATTCTCTTTGGCTCTCCACAGGAAATCTGGGACCATTGGAGGGTCAGGTCTCCAGTTACAGGGCAGGTGACATAAAATCCACCCCTGTCAACAGGGAGGAGAAAGGGGTCTGGATGGGAAGATAGGAAACTGTGGTGTATCTCAGCTTGAATCTAAGAGAAAAGAAAATAAAGTGCTTCTCTGGGGATTCATAGTCACAAGCCTGTCTTCACAAGCATTCAGGTTTGAATTTGGAATTTAAAACTATCTTTTTTCTTTTTTCCTTCCCCCAGTTGCGTACTGTTGAATCAGATCTGACTGGCACAGGAGGAGATTGCCCCTCCTTTTCCAGCGGAGCATCTGGTGGATTCAAAGCACACGCCTTTGGGATTGCAGTGCAGTTTATTGCCACTAGGCCACCAGAGCTCCCTTAAATCTATCCTTATATGTCGAGAGTACTTGTGTTCAGGCCTCACGGTAAGAAGCTGTGTTGCGATGCCAAAGACACATAGTTTGGACCCACCAGCAGCTCCACCCAGAGGGGAATGGGCTGTCTTCTCCTGTGTGATTTGCTGCCTCTGAAAACCCAGTGGAGTGTCAGCTTGGGTTTGTTTCTGACTCTGGCACACAACAACAACAACAAGGCGAAAAGAAGGGCTGCTCTGGTGGCCTGGCGGCAAGGAGCTGTGCTGCCAAACTGAAGGAATGCAGTTTGAATCCACCTGTGGCTGAAAGTTTAGTAGACTCCTCCCCCTCAATTTACTGCCTCTGAAAACCTGGGGGAGGGTCAGTGACAGGATGTTATGTAAAGATGGTACATAGCAACAACAACAATAACAACAACTGTGGCCTAGAATAAGGAGCTATATTGCCAGTCCATAGGCACTTGGTTTGAATACACCAGCAGCTTCACAGGAGAAACATGGGCAATCTCCCCCTGGTGTGATTTACTGTCTCTGAAACCACCGGAGGGTCAGCTATGGGTCAGTTTCAACTCTGCAGGTCACAACAACAGTCTGATTAGAAAGTCTTAATGGCCTTGTCCTTAGGGAGCTGTGCTCTAACCCAATGACCAAACTTCTCTGGCAGTTTGAATCTACCAGTGGAGAAACACAGGCACTCTCCTCCCACACAACTAATAGTCTCAGAAATCCAATGGAGGGTCAGCTATGAGTTGGTTGCGAATTGACAACAATGTGTTTTTTTAAGTTGGTGGTTTTTTTGGGTTGTATTTTTTTTTTTCCTTTTTAGTAAGGTGAGGAATAAGGAGCTCCAGTGGCACAATGGCAAAAGTGTTGTGATGCTAACCAGAGGTCAGAGGTTCAAACCACCATCCACTCTGTGGAAGAAAAATGAGGCAGTCAGCTCCCATAAAGATTTATAGCCTCAGAAACTCTTTAGGATACTGCTGTTCAGCCCCATTGAGTTGGCAGGACTCCGAACCTATTCCACGGCAGTGGATGGGTGTCTGTAAGTGTGCTACAAAGCAGCAGCCCCACAGAGTAAGTCTGGATGGGTAATGCCACCTGCATGTGGAGCAAAAGCAAATGCTGCATCTCTTTTAAGGTCATTTTCTCAACTCAAATTCAAAGGGCACTTTTTTTTAGGTTGTTGTTATGTGCCATCTGAGTCAGATCCAGCTCATAGCTGGCCCGTCAGAGAGTTTTCAGAGGCCATAACTTGCATGAGAGGAGATCACCCATCTTCCCTGCAGAGCAGCTGGTGCATTTGAACCACATGCTTTCGGGTTAGCAGCTTAACTTGTTACAATCACTAAGCCACCAGAGGAGGTTTGAAGCTGCTGAAAGATGAGCTCCCAATCCACATGTGTAATACTAGCCCTCTTCCTCCAAAGCCCCACGGAGCCACAGCAAGAGACAACAAACACAGCCAACAGGAAAAGAAGATTCCAAGAGCACCAAACTAAGATGTGCAGGGAGAGGTGCAGAGTGAAAAATAAGTATTTTTAAAGTTAGTAAAGTTAGTAAAGACATAAAAGTAGAAATGGAAAAGAACAGAATAAGATGCTGAATAGTAACAGGAAACTGCTATTGTTGTTAGGTGTCATTAAGTTGAGTACAACTCATAGTGACCCTATTAACAACAGAACTGAACCCTATCCTGTGCCTCCTCATCATCTCTGACACACTCAAACCCATCACTCCAGTCACTGTGTCAAGCTGTCTCCCTTTTGCTAACTCTCCACCTTTCCAAGCATAATATCCCTTTCCAAGGAATGGACTCTTCTAAGCAACATACCCAAAGTATGAGAGATGAAGCTTTACCATCTTTGACTTGAAGGAGCACACTGGCTGCACCTGGTTGTTCTTTTGGCAGTCCATGGATATTCAGTACTCTTCTCCAGCACCACACAACTCAAAGGCATCAATTCTTCTTCTGTCATCCTTTTTCATTATCTAGCTCTCAGATGCAGAGCAAGTGATTGGAAAAAACCATGGCCTGAATCAGGCATGTCTAGGTCTTCAAACAGACTTCATTGCGTTCCATTATTTTATAGAGGTCCCTGACAGTGGACTTGCCCAGTGCAATATATCTTTTGATCTCCTGACTGCTAATACCAAGGATGTTGATTGTGGATTCAACTAAGATGAAATTATTGACAATTTCAATCCTTTCTCCATCTATTATGATGTTGTCTATTGGCCCAGTAGTAAGAATCTTTGTTTTCTTGATGTTGAGATGAAATTCATATTGAAGACTACAGTCTTTGATCTTCAGCAGCAAGTGTTTCAAGTCCTCTTCACCTTCAGCAAGCAAAGTTGTATCGTCTGCATAACAAAGGTTGTGTTGAGTCTATCTCTGATCCTGATGCTGCATTCCTCTTCATAGAGTCCAGCTTGATTTGTGAATGATTTGCTCAGCATACAGAATGAATAGGTATGGAGAAAGGAATACAATCTTGATGCACACCCTTCCTGACTTTAAACATGTAGTGTTCTCTTGTTCCATTCAGAAAACAGTTTATTGGTCTAGGTATAGACTTTGCATTAGCATAGTAAAGTGTTCTGTGATTTCCATTCTTCTCAATGTTAGCTATAGTTTGTTATGATCATAGTCAAATGCCTTTGCATAGTTCATAAAACACAGACATTCATTCATCTGGTGTTCTCTGTTTTCAGCCAGGCCACATGGCCTCTTCTAAACTCAGCTTGAACCTCTGGCAGTTCCCTGTCTATATACTTTTCTAGCCATTTTTGGATGATCTTCAGGAATGTTTTGTTTGCATGTGATATTAATGCTATTGCTTGATAATTTTCACATTGTATTGGCCTAGTGGTAAGGAGTACTGCTACCAACTGAAGGCATGTGGTTTAAATAGATCAGCTGCTTCACAGGAGAAAGATGGGCAATCTCCTCCTATGCAATTTACTACCTCTGAAACCTGCTGGGGTGGTCAGCAAAGGGTGGTTACAGCTTGAAGGTATATAACAACAACAGGGAACTAGAATAATTTAAAAAACAACCTTTAAGTTATTTTTAAAAGTTACTTTCAAAGCATTCATTGAAACGAAAAAAGGAGACATCAAAGATGGGTTACACTGCAGACTGACCTGTTGGTCTCAAGCTGATTCAACTCCAGAGAACCTATAGGACAGAATAGAACTGCCCTAGGATTCAAAGCTTTAATCTTTATGGAAGCAGATTGTCACAGTTTTCTCTCATGAGTTGCTGGTAGTTCAAACAGCCAACCTTTTGGTTAGCAGCCAAGCGTTTAACTACAGTGCTACTGTTGATATGTACTGTCGAGTCGGAAGCAACCCATCGCTGACCCTCAGGCAGGTTTTCAGAGGCAGTCAACTGCATAGGAGGAGACTGCACATCCTTCTCCTGCAAAGCAGCAGGTGGATTCAAATTGCTTGCCTTTGGGATTGCAGTGCAGCTTCTTACCACTAGGCTACCAGAGCTCTCTACTGTGTTACTGTTGTTGTTGTTATGTACTTTGGAGTTGGAACTGACCCTTAGCTTGTCCTCCAGCGGGTTTTCAGAAGCAGTTAATCGCACGGGAGGAGATTGCCCATCCTTCTCCTGAGGAGAAGCTGGTGGCCTCGAATCCCGTGCCCTCGGAATTGCAGCGGAGCTTCTTGCCACTAGGGACTCCTAAAATTGCAGAGAAGACTAAACTCAAAGAGCGGTACACAAGACGATTGCTGAGCCGGAGTATTCATAAGCAAGCACAAAACTTCTAAAAAGAAACAACTGTCAGCTGAGAAGTCTAGATTCAGCTAATCTAGACTTTAAGGTTGTAAAAGCGTTTATCTAAAAAAAGATCTTTTCAGAGCAAAAACTGATAAACTGACCACTAACTGAGAGAATGACTATTGAATGTAGTTTAGGAGGAAAGACATTGATCCCAACACGGAATGAAATGCAAGTGAGCATCAAAGAAATAGGAAACCGCGGTGTATGTTAAGCAGGTGTTGAATGTGCTTTCTGACTACTCGCATTTAGACAGGAGGGTGGGGATTATTGGACTGAAAGCATTTGAAGCTTTGCTGGCAGATGAAGAAAATGTCTGGCTTGTTGTCAGGGGCTGATGAGCTGGTTCTGGCTCATGGTGACCCCACGTGTGCGAAGCAGAACTGCTCCCCAGGGTTTACCAGTGTGATCTTTTGCAGTCAAATGCTCTACCACTGAGCTACGCCTCCTTTTGGAAGCTGATGACCAGGCTTGTCTCTGGGTGGGTTCAAACTGCCCACCTTTTTGTCTGGCAGTGGAGCACTTAGTCATTTGTACCACCCAGGGATTCTTTAATAACAGGATTGGACCCATTGATTTTGGACTTTGATAAGTAAATGATGCATATTAAAATACGGGTGGTAATAATGGTGTAATTTCCAAACCATCACTACTCATTTTTTTATCTTAACTTTATAGCCTTATTCATATGTAACAGTGGCGATATTAACTTTTTTTTCATTAAAGAGGAGAGACCACTTGAATCCAGATCCTAATCGAGACTAAAAGTCAAAGAAAAAAAAACGCAAGCTGCTCTTTCAAAGGCTCTATGAGGACCCAAACCCAGATCGTAGCCCTTCAGAACTTCACGCCCGTGGCCTTTGATTGAAGCATCCACAGCCTAGTCCGCCCTCCCTCACCCTCACCCTCACTCTCACCTCATCACCTCTTCTGAAAAAGCATTTGAAAGTTCTAGTCATATTCTTTTCCAGTTCAGCCTCGGCCACTCCCTGAAACAAGAAAGCAAAATGAAAACCTCCTCAGAGATCTTAGAAACCACATCCCTTCCCCATCTGACTGTACAAACCTCTCTTTCATCCAGTGTCATTAGAAGGTCATTCATGGCATTTTTATACTGAAGCATGTATAACCAAAAAAAAAAAAAGCTAAAATATGATAGAAAACAAGATGTAGTACATACAGACGATGGAATATTACTCAGTTATAAAGAGAAATGAATCCTGGTCCATACTACAACAGGAAAAGATCTCAAAAACATTATCTTAAATGAATTAAGTTGAACATGAACAAATATTGTATGATATCACTCACATAAACTATCTAGAGCAGGCAAGCAAATGAGATCAAAGTTTACTAGTGGTTTTCAGGAGTGGGAAGGAGGGAGGAGGAGGAGAGACAGCACTTAGGGGATACTGAACTTTTTTTATGAGGGACGCAAAAATATGGAGTAGTGGTGGCAGAACAACATGATGAATATATTTAATCATTGAGCTATGTCTGTCAAGATTATTAGCATGGGAAATATTTTATTATACATTTATAACTTGGCCAACTGACTGGAAGAGATCTGTATTTGTTCCCATTCCAAAGGTGACCCAACTGAGTGTGGAAACTACAGAACAGTGTCATTGATTTCACATGCAAGCAAGATTCTACTGAAGATTATCCAAAAACGATTAGAACAGTACATCAGCAGAGAATTGCCGGAAGTCCAGGCTGGGTTTAGAAGGGGTCGTGGTACTAGGGATATTGTTGCTGATGTTAGATGGATCTTGGCTGAAAGCAGAGAATACCAGAAGAATGTCTATCTGTGTTTCATTGATTATTCAAAGGCATTTGACTGCGTGGATCATAACAAACTGTGGCTGACTCTGAGAAGAATGGGAATCCCAGAACATTTAATTGTACTAATGTGAAACCTATACTTGGACCAAGAGGCAGTAGTCAGGACAGAGCAGGGTAACACTGCATGGTTCAAAATTGGAAAGGGTGTACGCCAGGGATGCATCCTGTCTCCATACCTTTTTAACATGTATGCAGAGCAGATTATCCGAGAGGCTGGGCTCTATGAGGAGAATTGTGGCATCAGGATTGGTGGAAGATCTATTAACAATCTCCGTTATGCAGATGACACAACCCTGCTTGCTGAAACTGAGGAGGACCTCATGCACTTGCTGCGAAGGATCAAGGACTGCAGCCTTCAGTATGGACTGAGGCTCAATGTCAAGAAGACAAAGATTCTCACCACTGGACCAATTGGCAGCATCAGGATGGATGGCGAAGAGATTGAGATTATTCACAGTTTCAGTTTGCTCGGCTCCACAGTCAACACTCTTGGCAGCAGCAGTCAGGAAATCAAAAAGCGTATCGCGATGGGAAATTCTGCTGTTAGGGACCTCTCTAAAGTACTCAGGAGCAACGCTGTCTCTCTGGAGACTAAGGTGTGCCTGATACAGGCCATGGTATTTGCAATCGCTTGTTTTACATCAGAGAGTTAGACAATGACTAGGGAGGACAGAAGGAGAGTTGATACCTTTGAGCTGTGGTGCTGGAGAAGAGTACTGAATGTACCATGGACTGCCAGGAAAACAAACAGGTTCATCTTGGAGAGGATTAAACCAAGCTACTCCTTGGAGGCAAGGATTCTGGGGCTTCGTCTGACATACTTTGGACATGTTGCCAGGAGGGACGGGTCCTTGGAGAGGGACATCATGCTTGGGAGGGTGGAGGGACAGTGCAGGAGGGGAAGACCCTCTATGAGATGGATTGATTCGGTGACTGGGGTAATCGGGATGGGTGTGTCAGAGGCAGTGCGGTTGGCGCGCAGGATAGAGCAGGGTTTAGGGCTGTTGTGCATAGGGTCGCTATGAGTCGCAAACGACTCGACGGCACATAACAACAACAACAAAGGGAGCTCTAGTGGCTTGGTGGTAACGGATTGCGCTGCCAATGCACAGGTACATGGTCCTAATCCACCACTAGCTGCTCCACGAGAGAAAGAAGGACTACCGCCAGCTGAGTGGCAGGGCAAGCCCCCCCATCAATACTAAGACGAAAAAGAAGAGTCACTCAGTTGTATTTTGACTGAATTATTGATCCACAAAGTGGTAAGATAAAATAAGATTATTTTAAGGTAAATATATATCTAACAACAACCCCAAATCTGCTGCTGCTGATTAGGTTCCAACTCATACTGAATCTCCATCAGGTTTCTGAAGCTATAAATGTTTGTAGGAGGAAACTGCTCATCTATCTCCCATGGAGTGACTGGTGGATTTGAACTGCTGACCTTTAAGTTAGCAGCTGAACATGAAATACATGATGTCATAAACACACACACACACACACACACACACACACACACACACAGAGCTAACACAGGGAAGTAGGATTTTGTATGCTGTTTGTGCTGCTCTATTTTCTTTTCTGTTTTTTCAAGATCTTTACAGTAAGATCATATTACTTATAATGAGGTAAGAAATGAGGTAAGGTTGGTGCAGGCATAGCTTGGGTTTTGAAGAGTGATATAAAAAAAGAGGGGAAAAAGAAATTCATTTCAAAGATTCTAAGAATCTAAGGGGGGGAAAGTGAAAGGCAGTTCTATTCACTCACCTAAGTTTAGGGCATTTAATAAATTTTGGGTGTTATGGTTGAGAATATACAAAGAATATATGCCCACTCAACAACCTCTCCATGTGCAATTCAGTGACCCTGATCACATTCTTCAAGGTGTGTAACCATTCTTACCCTCTTTTTCTGAGTTATTCCTCCTTAGTTAACACAAACTTGCTGTCTCCTAAATGTCCTAACTAATTTTGCTACGGGACCTTCAAAATCAACTCCTTTGATTTGAGTCAAATTATTACAGCTCTGGGGGCACAATGCTTGAAGGTTCAGCTGCTAACTTAAAGGTCAGTGGTTCCAGGACATTTTCTTCCCAAAGCCAGGAAAAGACAGCACCAAAATAGAAAACTATAGGCCAATATCTCTCATGAATATTGATGCAAAAATCCTAAATAAAATACTGGCAAATAGAA